AGGCCACTACCTCCATTATGTTGATAATCTGAGTTCTGAGAGAAAAAAACGTTAGTTATGTAAAAAAGAAAAGACAGCTAAACTAAAAATAGAAAAGAGAAAACAACAACTTTACACCTTTAAGACAAGAAGCAAACTTTCAGAAACAGAAAAAAAGAAAAAGAAAAGCGAAGAAGAAACAAGCACACCTTCATTATCTCAGAGAAACCAGAGATTGCTTCCTGCCAACACTGAGGTTGGATAAAGGCATGTTGACAGATGGTATCCAAAAGAAAGAGCACATTGCTGTCATGCACCCAATCTGGTACTCCCACCAGCATCTGTTGCCAGAATCTGACAGCTAACATGCCTGAAGACAGACAATACCTGAGGATAAGGAGAGATAAGCAGTTTTAACATTACAAACGGTCATTGTTTTTTCTTCAAATATGCTGTGTGATATTATGACGTTTGCAAAGCAAATAATCTGATAAAGAGTAATTTCAGGTGGAATATCTGTGGATATTAACTGACATATTTGAATATGAAAATTGGATATAGACTTTCAGAAACAAACCTTGAGTAGTTCTTAATGTGATGAACAATCATGGCAGCAAACAGACTCAGAATCTTCCCCGGAAAAGCAGATGTGACGAGACTTTTGGCTAGCGTCATATATGTTTGATCTGCTGTTAAACATTTCTGAATGGCAATCATCATCCTAGGGGTAAAGGATATGTTAATATCAGTACACTTTATAACAGCAGGAATTAGCACTGAAATTCTTGAAATGTACCAAGAGTTATTTTGCAACATACAGGTAAATATGTAGAAGCTAAGCATAAACACAAACTCAACATATCTATAAATCTAAATCTACATCATATAACAAAATAGAAAAAAATATTTAAAAAGTACAGTTCCTTACAATCTGTTAATTCTGCCATATAATCTCAATTACTCACTTGGAATGTGTTGTGATGTCCTCTGGCTGGTTGAAGAACAGGGGCATGATGTGGGCCATGGATGCAATGGCTGCTTCGTACATGCCTTGCATTACCAGCTCATGGATGCAATCAATCCCGTGTTCACAAAACTGAAACGAATAATGTGGTTATACAAAATTTTCAATAAATCTACTGCGTTGTTGATATCATATTTCTAGAATAAATGTAATTTACCTGTCATTTTCTTCATGTAACAACTATTAAAGGCAATAAATAAAATGTGAATGAAACCACATATTGCATCCAAAGTGAAAATGAATCAATATTTGGAATGTAAAAAAAAAAACTACCTGCAGCACATCAATACAAATTACAAAAAAAAGAATATGAGCTCTCATTAAAAGTTACAGAGGTTGGAGGGGGGGAATCATTTTAATGCTTCATGAACTGCAATGTACCTGTAATTAAAGAACAAACCTCAGGAATAGAGTGTCCCCAAGACGTCAAAAGCAGAGCAGAGAACAAGGCAAGTGGTTGCTTATCCATCAGACCTCTTTTAACTGCATTTAAAGATGAACTGTTGGGAGGAGCAAGATCAGGTTTTTATATAAAAAAAAAAAAAAATTGGAATTAAAAAGAAAAACTCTCATTTCTGATCTGATAGACTGATATAAGGAGTGTTTAGTAAAGACTTCTAAATAAAATATCTCAATCCTTTAGGATCATCTCTGGCGATGACTACTCTGCTGCTGAAGCAACAAGAATTAAAGGCTACATTGAACAATAAAACAAACTGAATGCTTAAAAGATAATCAAAGCATCCCTAACTAAAAGATGCTAATATAACATATACAGAAAGAAAAAAAAAGAAAAGAAATGAAAAGAAAAGAAAGAAAGAAAGTACCTCTCCCATTCTAGCAGAGGTACCAGACCAATTCATAAGCCTCCAGAAACACTAATTATGAAGTTGGTAAGGTCTATAGTAATTTGAGATTGGGCAATTTTCTCATAACTGTTGTATGTGCTGCATATCAGTTTTGACATGACACCTGCCTTGTACACTTGTCCTTCTCTTTTATTTATAATAATTCTCAATTAGTGCCATATTTGAAAGGCCCGCAGAAAGGCACCTTGCTAGTATTACTATTATTTATTTACCTTTTATTTCAAAATTCTTGTTCTGTTATTCAAGAATCTTAGTCCAATTAATAAAGATAAAACAGGCCTTGCTTAAGAAATGTATAATTTTGTACCTATCAAATACAATTCTGGCCTCTGCATTTCATTGTTCATTGTATATTTCAAACATGAATTAAACGTCACTTAAAAAACATGAACATCTCATCACTTCCACCCTCAAGCATACTCAATAGATGGCCTGATATTTGTATATTACTGATGTGTATAAATATCATACTATGAATCACCTCATCCAGATACGTACCCTTGAGCAATTGCAGAATTAGTAGGGTCTGGAATATCTTTCAGCATTAGTGCAGGAGAGGCTATAACAGCATGAACCCATGGCTCAGGCTGGTCAAGCTGGTGCAGTCTAAGGCAGGTCAGAATTTCCCATGACCAATCACAAAACACCTGTATAGTAAATAGATTCCTTATCAGTTTATTACATTGTAAATACATAACTTCGACAGTATACATTGGATTAACATAAAGAGAATATTTCAAAAGATCACATATGACATTACCTGCTCTGCTGAAGGTGCATACATGACAGATGTAACTTGCTTAACACCTTCAGTTAAAAGACTACCTTGTCGCATTTCACGAGACACCTTCAGGTGAGCTTCTAATACTGTCAGTGCAACCTGTATCAAATCAAATAAAGTAGTTTCTTTTATCAAATATATCCAGTTACAATACCCTAACATTGGCATCAAACAAAACAGTATTATAAAAACACATTGTTTCACTTAGATGAAGAACAAGACTGAACAAGCAGAACAACCAAAATCGAACTAACCCTACGATGTAACTCAAGAGGCAGAAAAAGCTGCATTCCGAAAGTATTTTCGCCCCAGTTGAGCTTACTCAGGACAATTCTAGCCAGCTGGTTTTCTACACTGGCAACAGGTGTGAAGAGCAGCCAATGTGACACACAAGTAATGTCATCTGGGGAAGGTTCCCACAGTTCCAGTGGAAGAGCACGGAAGAGGTAGAGAGCCATGTTTCCCACACTAGATATTTTCTCCTGTATATGAAAAGTTATGCAAATATTGCTATCTTATGCTTTCCATTTGATATAGCATAATTACCATGTAATATGGTTCATTCGTAAACAAGCTTACCTGAGTGGTAGTTAGCAGGTATGAGACAGAAATAGGATGATTTGAAGCCACAGATGACAGCAGGTCTCTACCAATCCTACTCAGGGCTTCTCTTGTTCCTTCATTGACAAATGTTGCTTCGAAAATGTTGTTCACAATAACCTAGCACACAAGAACATAGCAGATTAAAATTATTGGAAAGCAAGTTGGAAATAGAAATAACTTTTATGTATTTACTTATATTGAGGTGAGCATATATGTGAATTAACAAATAGAAAAGATAATACAAGACAAAAGAGAAAAAGATAAATATAGTTAAACTACTTTTCTTACTTCAACAAAATGACTCTCTGTTGATTCACGCTCGACTGCCATGTTAGCCAATGCTGTGAGGAGGTACAAGGCTTCATTTTCTTCAATCTTCATGAGACGGTCGTGAAACTGACCACGTGTATCGGAGTGAGATACAAGATCTGCCCAGTCACTGTATGAAGCCTTTTCAGCACTGAGTTTCTCGCTGTTCTGAACAGATTCTTCACTCCAGCCAACATGAATTTGGTAGACAATCTTCCATAATCTGTTGTAACAAATCACTAAATTTACTAAATTTCCTTTCTGAAAATGCACCCTTTATCTTTTACAATGAAATATACAAAAATACTAAATAAATTCTTAAATACTGCATAAATAAATAAGATAAAGAGCACTATATAACATCCGACTTACCTTGAAAGAGACACACTTCTGTATGGAATGACAGCAAGGAACTGCCATGCACCAGATCTTGGACTACTAATGATGCTGTGAACAGCCTTTTCGAATAACTGATCATATTCTACCTGTGAGACAAACAGGGTGAAAGTAAAAAAAAAAAAATATATAAGTATTTGTTTTTACATCCTAAATATATAACAAGAAATATTGCTTCATAAACAAAAGTAGAGGCTACCTGTAATGATGTCCAGTGCGTAGAAGCCTGATTCATGTCAGATATTTGTTGAGGTGATGACTGATACAACAGAAGGAAATTTTGCCAGTGGTCAGTTACATACTCTACTGTGTGCCGTAGTAGTCTACAGATGCGTTTTGTGGCCCCTCGGTACCTCATCTTTGAGGAAAATAAATCAAAAGAGTGTTTGTCAATACTATCAAAATAAAAAAAATCACTGAAAATTACAGAGCTTACTCATTCATTCAAAAAGCTCTTTAAGCAAGAAATTGTGTTTCAAAAGAACAATTTGTACATAAGTATGTCAGATGAGCAATACACCCACCATTGAGTATGTAGAAAGGCCCTTGCAAAACAAGTTTATAAGAACTGTAGCACAGGCAAAGAGCTTCATGAGGCCATGATGACTAGTGCGAGACACGTCGTATTGGAGAGAACCATCCACATCCTCAATCATTAACATATGTTGGAAGATATCCTTAAATGGTACTTGGTTCAACAACTGTTGGAGGAAGTGAAACAAAAAAGTTAAGTGAATGGTTCAAGAACAAACACTAAATTTACTAAATTTCCTTTCTGAAAATGCACCCTTTATCTTTTACAATGAAATATACAAAAATACTAAATAAATTCTTAAATACTGCATAAATAAATAAGATAAAGAGCACTATATAACATTTGACTTACCTCGAAAGAGACACACTTCTGTATGGAATGACAGCAAGGAACTGCCATGCACCAGATCTTGGACTACTAATGATGCTGTGAACAGCCTTTTCAAATAACTGATCATATTCTACCTGTGAGACAAACAGGGTGAAAGTAAAAAAAAAAAAAAAAAAAAAAAAAAATGAGGTGATGACTGATACAACAGAAGGAAATTTTGCCAGTGGTCAGTTACATACTCTACTGTGTGCCGTAGTAGGTCTACAGATGCGTTTTGTGGCCCCTCGGTACCTCATCTTTGAGGAAAATAAATCAAAAGGGTGTTTGTCAATACTATCAAAATAAAAAAAATCACTGAAAATTACAGAGCTTACTCATTTATTCAAAAGCTCTTTAAGCAAGAAATTGTGTTTCAAAAGAACCATTTGTACATAAGTATGTCAGATGAGCAGTACACCCACCATTGAGTATGTAGAAAGGCCCTTGCAAAACAAGTTTATAAGAACTGTAGCACAGGCAAAGAGCTTCATGAGGCCATGATGACTAGTGCGAGACACGTCGTATTGGAGAGAACCATCCACATCCTCAATCATTAACATATGTTGGAAGATATCCTTAAATGGTACTTGGTTCAACAACTGTTGGAGGAAGTGAAATAAAAAAGTTAAGTGAATGGTTCAAGAAACAAACACTAAAATTATATATAAGCACACTATTATCAAAGGAAGTCCAAACTGAGGCTGAATGTAACAAAGGATACCTGAACAACATCATTCTCGGTGAACATGGCCCACAGTTGTGTGGGATCTTCCTCCTCTTCCCCAGAGCTATCAACAACTACCCACACAGTATCAGAAGCCCTTTCATCTCCAGTATTTTCATCACATGGATCCCCAGAGGGTAAGGCACTTTGCTTGAGGTGGTGGAGGAAATCCTCTCTGCTGCTTACAGGACTAAGAATCGTTGAAAGGACAGTGAGGGAGTGATCCAGGGGCCAACATCCGAGGACTCTACCAATGATGTCTGTCTCCCAAGGGCCTCCGATCTATTCCAAAGAAACCAAAAGATATAAAAGGAAAGAAGAAAATATAAAGAAAATTATATGAAATTAGTATAGACAATGCTTAAAATTTTATAATCCCTTTAGACTCTTCATTTAATTCCAATTTTTTCAACACCCTATTTTCTGGAGTTTGTAATCAACACTCCTTTCCAAATTACCAAAATTAGGACTCTATGACACTCTATAGAACATATTTTAATTATAGAAAAAAAAACAAAAAAACATACTATTTTCTGTCTAATTGAAAAATAAAAAAATCAGTGTGTATTAATTTCTTGCTATTAACAACATTAATTTATCATTGGTGAAATTTAAGCTGATTATACCTGAATGTATGCTGAGGCCCAGGACCCTACTCCTGCTGGACATCGCAAGATGTGATTAAGAAGGAAGAGGTGGTCACTACGGGTTGCAAACCTCTGCAGAATGGCGACAAAATCTGTTAACCATTGTCTTGTGTCGCGGATAAATTGCTGGTCCTTTACTCCCCTGCGCTGGAATGCAAACAGGACACTAATACACATCTTCAGTTTTTTGATATGGGGTTGCATATGTGGGTTATATTCGTTGGTGCCACTTGCTTTAATTTTTGCATTTTTGGGGACCTGCATGAACTCAGGACAGTCACTTAAGATCTTCTGCATGTGGTTCTCCACTTGCAGCTTGGCCATTTCAGAGGTATATGCATGGAGAGCATAGGATTCTGAGAGGAGTTCTCTTGACTGTTTCAGCTGCTTTGCAACATGAGTTACAATCTCCTCCTTAAAGCAAGCAACCTCATACTCATGCTTGACTGTCAGGAGTCTACCATCTTCGCACTCCCCTTCTTCAGTTCCTGTCCTCTTCTCGAACACCCAAATATTTTTCATTTGCTTTCTGTATTCTTCTAGTATGGTTGACAACTCTTTTTGGCTACTTATCAAACTAGTTCTAGAACGCAGATAGTTCAAGACAAGCTCATAAAACTCAAGCTGTGGGACATTTCTCTCTTCTTCCAGAAATTTTATAATGTATTTTTCATTTTCTTCAAGTTCATTATTTTGATAAAGAGCATTTATTTGAACATCTGTCATTGGTTTAATGACTGAGTCCTCTGACAAAGTGATTTTGGTTTTAATGTGTGAACTTTCCTCTTCTATACGTACTTGACTATCAACTGAATACGTAGCACCACTTAAGACTGGATCAGAGAGTAAAGGAGCTGTGGCTGAAGGATACTGACTCATGCCTTCAGACTCTGCTATTGCATCATCTTCAGCCAGACATGGAGCACTTGCTCCCACATCTGCATACTGAATATCACCTCCATCAATGATAGGGGCACTTGGACATATGGCACTCTCACTATATTCTTTTGCAGTGGCATCCTCTATCATCAACTCCTTCATCTGACGTTGGGCTTCCATGTATGGCTCAATCTGGACAAGTTGTTGCCGCAGATTTTCAAAGTTTGGAGCTGACGGTTCTTCTGGGGCTACCTCCCAATGTACTCGGTATGCAGAAGAATCATCCACAACATCTGTCTTAACTGCCTCTGCAAGGTTGCCTCTATCAGCAAGAAGAGAATCATCATCATGGAAAATGGTCTCAACAGTATCTGACACCTCTACT